TGCAATTTAGTTACACATTGGACCACTGACTTATATGACTGAAAATCTGCTTCTGCTTCTTTCTCCATTTTCCTCCTTTGAGCAAGTGCATATTATTCCATAAAAGTATTCAATGTTGTTTGTCAATGAACAAATCCATCAAAGAAATCGTTTAGACCTTCACTTCGCTGTGTTGAAGACATCCCAGCCCAAAGTTGATCTGTCAGAAATGGTGGTGCCCACATTTCACGCTCCTCAAATATGTCCTTCAACCATTGGTTCTCCACTAAATCATGTTCTTTGATCATAACTTGCCACTTCTGTTCAAACTCATTTCAATCATTGCAATGGTAGATGAGGCTTGAGAATGTGTTCTCAAGCTCCCTATACCTTTGCACAGTTGTAAGCTTTTGTGGCAATTTTTGTCTTATGTGCCACATACACTAGCAGTGCCTAGTAGCAGGGAATACTATCTGCATTGCCTTTCTAATCACTTTGCATTGATATGTTATTATTGCCTTCGATTTAACACCCCCCATGCGGCCAACCATGTTGAAAATAGCCAAACGAAGGACTCAATCGTCTCATTAGCCAATAACCCACACCCAAGCATTATTGTTTGGCCGTGGTGGTTCACTCCACAAAATGGTGCAAATGGCATGTCATACCTGTGTTGAGGGATGCAAGAGTATAATGAGAATAGCATGTATGTATAAAGATTAAAAAATTCTTGTAGTAATGGAGAATCCTAGGATTTGTTTCTTTATCAAATCCATGGTACTTGCAATTTCTTGTTAATGCTAAAGTTGTACTTGCAATATTTGAACTCTATAAAAACTGGAACATTTTTACAATAATCCTTTTATCTTCTAACATAATAGACATTGCTTATGTTCTTCCATTTTACAAGCTTAAAACATTAGTATTTTGTTCATCATGGGGTTAAGGTGTTTGTGTTAGCTATTATCCTCATTAGAAATACCATGCCATAACCCTTATAGAACTCTAGCGAACTATTGATGACAGAGTCAAAAACCATGCCAACAGCTGAGACTGTCCGCTCCTCATCTTCTAGTTTTGCTAAACCATCCTCCGAAGGAGTTTCCAACACCACAATTTCATAGGCTTTTTCACTTGTAGGATTGAGTTCCACCTCCATCTCACCTGTTGAAGGTTACTAAGCACATGATCCCTCCATGTCCGACTCTCAGCATAAACAATAGCCTCAGTCTGACCCTAACAGAGAAACAAATAATTTTGCAACAATTTCTCTTTTCCTATGTTGGATGGCTTTCCAAAATAAATTCAAAGTTCCCCCCAATAGCATTCATATAATATTTCTCATATTTTGTGACAACTGGGTGTCGGATCTGTTGCACACGTCATTTGTATTGTTAATATCCATATTAGTACAATTTTAGAATTTGATCACTACTAGGAGGTATTACAATTCTGTTCCCCTTCCCACTTAAACCACGTATATAAATTACCTTTTAATAAAAGTTAGATATATTTAACTTGTAATATAGGAATATTTTTGCATGTAACTTATAAGAAGCAATATTTACTTTAAAGACAATTGATAATTATTATATTAATCAATTGAGTATGGTATACTATATTATTTTCTTCATATTAAATTATTTAATAAAATTAATTTAAATTCTATAAACACAAAATCTAATTATTATCTAATGTACCATATAAGTGTGCCAAATCTGAAAATGATTTTCAGATTATTAAAAGCACTTCCCCACTGTGACCTTCCCATTGAATTCCATAACACATCCTACTACTTTACTGCCCTACTGATTACCTTTTCCTTAACTTCTTTTTTTGGTACATACCTTTTCATATGTAGGTGTTGCATAGAATGAATTTCATGTTGACTTACTGCATTTCGTATTCATGAGTCCTAGATTTTCAATTAAACTCACCAAGATATTGTTGACACCCACTGTACTACTAGGTGTAATGCATTTATTAAGCATAGCCTCATTCTATATACCTTTATA